CTCTAAGCTCAAGGTGCTGTGTTCAATCTTAGTTGCGGGTGGGCATAGCCACCATCCTATGCGGGAGTTGAACCAGCAGCCTTGTTGTTGAGAGCGCACACTCTGTCCACTGAGCCATCCAGGCGGAAGCTAGCTCAGCTCAAGGTGCCGAGTTCAGTCTTAGTTGCGGGTGGGCATAGCCACCATCCAACAGGCAGTCTTCTTGTTACACCAACTGAGCTATCCTGCCACCTGTTGGCAGCTCAGCCCAGGCGCAGCGTCACTGGCCCATGTGGGAATCGAACTGGTGGCCCTGTTGCTCAGAGCTCTTGCTTTTAAGCCAGCTCTTAGCCAACTGAGCCACTCGGCCAGCCCTGTGATGCTTAATTTTATTGGTCAATTTTTAAAAAATTATTATTTTTTTTCAATTACAGTTGACTGTAGGGCTTAAGGTTTCAAATCCCCCCTCAGGTTGTTTAGTTGCAGCGTTTTCCTAAACACTGTCATTCAGTATTTTGGGAGCTGGAGATTGGGTGCACAACTCTTGGCTGCTGTTTTCACATCTATTTTTTTCCCTTCATGATTATTTTATTTCTCTCTCTCTCGCGTTCTTTCTCGCTCTTTTTCTCTCTCTCGCTCTCTTTCTCTCTTTCTCTCTTGAATGAGGCTTTAGGAGAAAGGTATATTGGAAAACCCTGTAAATTTTTAATTTTTTTTTTAATTTTATTTTTTATAGCTACACATACCAAAAAATGTGTGACAAAATAAGGAGATTATCACACATTTTTTTAAAAGAAAGAATCTTGGAGAATAAAGAGGTATAACATTGAAATATAACATTAAAAACTTTTTTATGGAAGGATCTTTAGATATATTATCCAACCTTTTAATTTTTCAACAGCTTTATTGAGGTATAATTAAAATTCCATTTCCCTCCCAGCTTTTGTGCTATTGTCACATATTTTACTTTAATAACATAATTTATTTTTGTTTAAATCGTTAGTTAAAACAGTCAGTTATCTTTTAAAGGTATTTAAATAGTAAGAAAAAGCCATATATTTACCCATGTAGTTATCATTAACTGTGTTCCTAATTTTTTTGTGTTTATATTTCTGTTTTTCTCTCCATTTTTCCTTCTGCCTGAAGGACTTTTAATACTTCTCATAGTGCTGCTCTGCTGGTGCTGAATTCTTTTAGCTTTCATATGTCTGAAAAGTATTTTGCCTTTGCTTTTGAAAATATTTATACTGTGTATAGAATTCTAGGCTGATAGATTTTTCTTTCAGTGTTTTAAAGATGTCACTCCCCTCCCTTTTTCCTGTCATTTTTTTTTGACGAGAAATCTGTGCCTGACGTGTCTTTTTTGTCTGGTTGCTTTTATAATGTCTCTTATCATTTTGGGGGAGCAATTTCATTATGATGTGTCTTAGTGCAGTTCTCTTCATGTTTCTTGTGTTGGGATTTTGTTGTGTTTCTTGACTGCAGGTTTATAATTTTTATCAAATTTGGACATTTTGGGGCCATTACGTCTTCAAACTTTTTTTGTCCCTTATCCCCTTTAGGGACTCCTGTTATGTATGTCAGGCTGCATGAAGTTGCCTCATAGCTCAATGATGGTCTATTCATTTTTTAAATTCTATTTTTCTCTCTGTTTTTCGATGGTTTCTATTTGTAGGTCTTTAAGTTCACCAGTCTTTGTAATCTGCTGTTAATCCTATCTGGTGTATTTTCATTTCAGACATTGTAATTTTCATCTCTAGAAGTTTAGTTTAGGTCTTTTTTTGTCTTTTATGTCACTACTTAACTTTTTGAATATATGGAGTACAGTTATACAGAATACTGTTTTTTGGGTTTTTTTAAAAGATTTTTTTATTAGTTGGGGGAGGGGAACAGCATTGGGGAATTGGGGGAGGTGAACAGCATTGGGGAATCAGGGAAGCGGAACAGACAAGTTGCTGTCCTTTTGTTCTTCAGTCTAGTTGTGGAGGATGTCGCTTCACTGGCCCATGTTGGTATTGTGATCATTGGGCTCTTCCCGGGTGAGGCAGATTGGTCAGGTGGCTCACGGCTGCTCACACTGGCTGCTGGCCGCTCACGGCAGCCCACTGCTGCTCCACTGCAGCCTTCGTGTCGCCGGCGACTCACAGCAGCCCAGCTCTAGGTCGAGCTGTTGTTCACCATCTTAGCTGTAGAGGGTCACTGGCCCTCATGTGGGATCTGAACCGGGGCCCCACTGCTCAGAGCTGGCGTCCCAAGCCAACTCTTTTTTTTTTTTTTTTTAAAGATTTTTATTGGGGAGTTGGGGGATGGGAACAGTGCTGGGGAATTGGGGGAAGGGGAACAGACAAGTTGCTGTCGTTTTTGTTCTTCAGTCTAGTTGTGCTGGCCGCTCATGCTGGCTGCTGGCTACATACGGTAGCCCATGGCAACCCACTGCAGCAGTGGCTGAAGCCTACGCCTTCGCTGGCGACTCACGCCAAGCTAACTCTTGTTTTTTTTTTTTAAGCTGAGCCATCCTGCCACCTGTTGGCAGCTGAGCGGCAGCTCAGCTCAGGCATCGAACCGCTGTTGCTCAGAGCTCAAACTCTTCAGTGAGCTCTTAACAAACTGAGCCACTTGGCCGGCCCACCCAGCCAACTCTTAACCAACACGCCACTCGGCCGGCCCCAGAATACTGTTTTAAAGCCATTTTCTGTTAATTTTAGCATCAGTGTCAGTTCTGGGTTAGTTTTAATTGATTTTTCTACTCATTTGGATCATATTATCTTGCTTTGCAAGCCAGCAAATTTTTGATTAGATGCCAGATGAGTGAATTTTACCTTGTTGAAGGCTGGATATTTTTGTATTCCTGTAAAATACTGAGTTTGTCCTGGGATGCA